ATTATTATTATTATTATTATTATTATTATTATTATTATTATTATTATTATTATTAAACCAGGATTTAAAAATGCAGATTTGTTAAATATAGAATGGTCTCAATGTTTTCCACGACTGTATATACACATATATACATACAAACAAATGCATACATATAAAAATAGCTTCTGGAACCAAATCTCCTATTATTCTAACTATGCCGTATATACATACAGCACTGCTGTCCAAAATGCAACCGTTAGCTAATGTTAATCTCAACATTTGTTTGCTACAAGCAATCGGATCCGTTAGTGAAAATGTACAGGTAGCTAAAGGCAAGCTTGGCAGTATCAAGTAACCGGACAGATAAGTGACTTTTGATTGACTAACTACATATCGCAATACTTTGTGCTTGCTAGAACTACAAAAGCATATGTTTTGCAACTCATCACAAGTAGCACATCCCCAAAACTGAATCAGATTTCCATTTCATTTTACGTTTACGTTCACCACCATACAAAAATCCCCCCACCCCCAGCATCTGTAGCTTGCAATTGTGAATATTTCAGAACAGTCCAACCAAACCACATGAGAACCATGTTCACAATGCGTGAGGAGGTGGAGCGAAAGCCAGCAAAGCCAGAATGTGTGGCGTTCCTCGGAAACCAGTTTGAAAAGCACTGATTTAGACAAAGCACATTTTTGTGCATATCTAAATAGCTTGCTCAGCATTCAAGGTTAAACTTGGACAGCATCATGTTACATTTAGCCTTCAGAAAAAAAATAATAATAAACTGAACAGGCAATACCAAATCTGTCTTCATACACTTGAAATTGAAATTAATCTATGCAAATTGACAGACAACAAATAAATGCCAAAAAACCCAAAACAGAGCTAAGAGAAAGGATTTTTTTCCACTTGGCAAGTTTAAAATTTTAAAACCTCAAACTACCAAAAGAACTGAAAAACATGGCCACTGAAATTTACAGCTAAAAGTTTTTTTCTTGAGACAGAAACTTACTTTATATTTTTTGATATATATTAGTGCTGTCCCAGACAGTTATTCTTTAAACAATTAATCTAGTGATTAATACGAACAACTAATTTTTCGATTGTTCTGATAAATTTATTGATAAGTAATTATTTTCAAGTTAGTCATTTAATACAACAATTCACTCCCTCTCACACACACACAAACCTGAAATTCTCATTAAGATTTCAATTTACTAAAACATTTCTTAAACATTAGAGCGGACGGCAAATTTCCTTTTTGCAGGGTAGGAGATGCCTCATTAATATTTATGAGAGAAGTGCTACATGATTGGCCAGTGCATGCCTTACAAAATAGTGCGGCACTGCTGGCACCCGCGATATTAGACAAAACTATATCGGAATTCAGTCTATAATTGATATGGTTTTAATGGTGCCAGCAGTGAAACAACTAGCCAGCTTATTAGTGGAATAACTTTGTATTGTAAATGAAAACCATACTGTAGGTCCAATAAATAAAAAATTGTAGCTCTCGAGCGGTGAAGAGATCATCAGGTGGACAGTAAAGTTCAGTTATTAGCAGACTGTTTTATTGCGCGATTCTTAAAAGGACAGCGTTAACGTGCTACAGAGTGGATAAAGTATTTTCCCTTACAATACGTTTAGCTTATGTAGTGCATTGCAGTTACAAAACATTTACATAGTTTTACACAACACGTCGACACTAAAATTGCACGTCAATGCATTTTTATAAATCGACATCATTCACAGCAGATGTATAAAATAGCTGCAAAGGGAAGCCCTTGATGTGATGTTCTTTTATTTTCACAGCTTGATGTTTTCAGGAAGCCCGAAGGACAACCCCAGAATAAGGAAGAAATAAGGTTAGCTGACATTACAGTGGTTAGGAACATGAAAATGTGACTAAATTCCTCTGACAAACTCCTTACAAAAAGTAGAAGTAGTAGAATAAGTCGAAGTAGTAGAATAAGTAGAAGTAGTAGAATAAGAAGTAGTAGAATAAGAAGTAGTAGTAGTAGAATTCTAGGCTCGGTATACAGAAAGGAATCTGGTCAGGTGTCTTTCCTGTGTTTGATAATCTATTGTATTTTTGATACATGGTGAAAAGACCTTTATATGGAGTAACTTTAAAATTTTTACGATTGGTGTGATTTCTGCAGGCCCGCCTTATATAATTCTTAGGCCAGGGACAAAATTACTTCAAATTGGATCCCTATGATGGGCAACACTTCCCACTTGGACCCTCTCCTGTCCCCTAGCCCACCCCGGGTCCAGGTGGGAAGGGTCGTCCCCCTGAGCCAGTCCTAGATTTATGGTCTGTTTATTTATGAAAGGCCTCTTTGCTTCCGTGTGGCACTATTACTGCACTTATGCCATTATTCAAATGTCTATCAAGCTGTGCATTGTTACGCCATGGTCAACATCACAGTAGAGATGGGCGATGCACATTTTGTCAGTTCCGATCCGATTCCGATACACAACTGCCGATACCGATACAGATTCCGATACAAGAGCTCTTTTTACTTTGTTATACTTTATATATAAAATTTTTAAGCTAGTAAATGCAGGTGGAAAAAATGACAAAAAATATTAGGCTACTACAAACATACATAATGTACTGTTCCACCTCGTTTGTTTTAAGAGTTTTTGAGGCATTTGCAGTTCAATATGAATATCTTCAAAGCAAGTATACACAAGTGGCGAATGCTTAAAATTTTAACAGTTTTTCTCCCATTGCCATCAGCGCAGTTACACTTTTGTTGCGATGGCAGCCCCTCTTGTATCACAAGCTACAGTGAGTTCGCAAAACAGTCCAATTAAGTTAGCGACTCCCAAATCATCCATTGCTTTGTTTTGTCTCGCAGTTGCGTGCGCTTTGTTAAATGGGATTGTCCATTAAACGCTATTCCCACCTCAAAACTTTATTTTACATAGGTTGCAAATAGCTGTACTACTGGTCTCTGTTAAAAGCGTAAAATACTCCCAGATCGTCACGTCTCATCTTACGCTCCTCGTACTGCGAAGGGTATGCGCATGACGTCACAGTAGGCGGAAGTCACTGTACTGATACCCACTGAGTAGCAAAAAAGACTGAGGGGCAGCGATAGCATTCGATTTGAATGCCGCAAAAAAACACATGTAAAATGTGAGAGCTGTCGTGCGATTGATTACCAAAAGCTAAATAAGTAAGTATAGGACGTGGATCGGTCACGCATGGCCGATACCTGACCCGTCAAATAGGTCTGGATTGGCGCCGATACCGATCCGAATATCGGTATATCTCTACATCACAGTATGAAGATTTAATCATGAGAAACTTGACACTGAAAATGGGTTCGAGTTTGACCTCAAATTCATACACGAGTGCAATGTTTGTCGAGCGTTTACACTAGTGTTAGCATGAAACTAACAGTTTATCGCTGCAGACATGAAGATGACAGTTTGTGCTGATTTACCCGGGAGATTCTCCCTCAAGGTATTTCACAGGTTTCTGAGCAGTTACATAATAATGGAATGGGGGGGGGGGGGGCAGAAAATGTACTAGAACAGATCAGTAATCATGAATATGAGGTTAGAGCAGTTTTACCTTCCACCTCCTCATCATCACAGACGTGCTTAAGAAATGCCGCTCCTCTGTCTATCACTGCCTCATCCTCCACCCTGAAGAAAGAAGAAGAATAAACTTTAAAAAAAAATCTCCACATCCCCAGCGACATTACAAAACCCCAAGTGAGTGCCAAACTGTGCAGCTACGGAGAACACGCTGGACACGTGGCATGTGCGTCACAGCTGCGCAAAGTACTGATTTTCATTTCGGCCCCCATGTCAACAGATTGGAGCAGCCACACTATGGCTCACGCCTTGCGGCAGCAGCGCCTCATCTAGAGTGTTGGAGTGGCGCCTATTTATCAGGCTTGCGGTAAGTTGTTCACAGCATAAATAGACAGGGGGACACTTGTTGAGCTGTCTTGGTTCCTGCAATTGTATGTTCTGGCCACAGTAGTGGGGGGAGGGGGGCACTGGAATGTGAGAATAGAATGAGGCAGTATGGGGTATAAGGGGCAGTGAGTTGGATTAGACTAATTTCTTAAATCTCAATCAGATATTCAGGGATATACTAGCAGGTAGCCCTGCAGAACCCCCCCCCCCCCAACATCAAAGCAGTCCTGTTGTTGCACACAAACACAAACAAACGCTAGATGCCTCTGCCATCTGGCCTTTAATACAAGTATATCCCACCCGCCTCACCTCAACAACAAGTTACCCATCACGTGACCATCTAATAATGATCTGCCCTTTGAGGATTAGTCCAGCTTTACTCAGGAGAGTAACATGCAAGCGCATAATGAGCCTTTGTTGGGAACATGTCAGCTCTTCCTCCATTTAGAACTAAGAAGCCAGCTCCTCACATAGCCAAACCAGTCAATCACTCTGTGAAATGTACCTCTAACAGCTCTGTGCTTTGGGAAGGACCTGCAGAGGTTTCTACCTGTATCACATGTCACAGTAAATGACAGTTAACCACAAAATTTAAATATTGCAGAATACTACAAAATCACTGTCCACACATTGCATTTAGCAGCTACAAGGATAACAGATATTAAAAAGTTCTGCGTACTAAGGTAATTTAATAAACATAAATAGACAACACTTAGGATGGTTTTGCCTACTCTGGTGGTCCATCGTCCAAAATAGCACCTGTGTGTTCTCTCTTCAGGCACTCGTGGAAAGTTCAGTGGCAAACTTTTTAAGTGATAATTTGAACTACTCCCATAATTATGTGGTAATATTAAAAAGGAAAAAAAAAAACATTTGTTACAATGAATTGAAGTGTTTTAGAACTCATAATGGTAATGTCATTAAAATAATTTTAAAAAAAAAAGACGCATCAATTTAAATTAATTTTCATTTTCAGCGTCGACATCGACTACGTTGACTAATCGCGGCAGACCTATAGATCATTAACAGAAATCCAAGAAAAACCTTTGTGGTCAGACAAATTAACCAAAAGCAAAAATAAAGCTTCTTGCATTTGCATATAAAATCTAAGCAGGTTCCTTACATCAGGAAGGTCCTGTTCCCATTCCGTTTTCATGTTCTATCACTCCTTTGTTGGAGAAGCTGGCGGACAGCCCAGCGATGAATCAATATGGGGTTTTATGGTCTCTTTCAGAACAATCTCCATTTAGCAGAGGAATGCACCAGTTCCAGGGCTTCTAGCAGAATGGTTTAGATCCATAATTTTGCTGCACAGCAAGGGCAGTTAAGAGAAGGGGATTCCCTATGAACACTTCTGGGCCTTTATACATTCTTTCACTGAGTTTTAAATTTCATCACACAAGTGGCCATTTTCGCCACCTTGAACAGCTGCCAGCTGAGATGTTTGTTGACAGCTAGCATGCTTTGTGGCAAAACATGCATAATTAACATGCAATAAGTCATATGGGAAACTCGCTACTCCAGTGTATCTGATGGAAGAGGGTATTGGGTAGGACCAATGCGACAATGCTGCTTATCACGCTACAAACCAGAAGCCACACGCTATGAGCACCCCACCACTCAGAAGACCACCGTCCTCGATCGCAAGACCGCCGTTCTCTCCACCCCGGCCGCCGCTCATTACATGCACAGGGCTGAAAGACGGGATACAGAAGCTAAAAGTAAACAAAGACAGGAAGGATACAGCTTGTTCTTTAGATAACACCCGCTACTCATATGCTTCTCCCATGAGACCCCTCTATTACCACAAATCCTGTCTGATGAGGAGATAAATGACACCCCTAAGTCAAGCTCTCCTGTAAAAGATATTTTAATATCAAACAGCAGATGGCATGAGTACAGTGAGCGAGTCTTTGTATCAAAGGTTTTTTCCTCCCACAAACAAAACAAGAATGTTTCAAACCCATTTAAAAGCTCAAATGTATCAGATTTGCGTACATGCAGACATCATGGTCTTCCACTGTTTCTTTCAAATGAGAGGTTATATCCTAGTATCTCTCCCATTATTTGCTCCCTTGTTTTTAATAAGACTGTCACTACAGAGTAGCTGAAATCAGGTGATCCCTTTCGTAGCCTCCTAGATGCCTTCCAACAAAGCTTCCTTTGTAGGGTCCAGAACAGAGGACCATTGCAGCAGTTTCTGACAGCAGCCGGAAACCATACATTGTGTGCAAGTGGTGGTGACTGTTGGATGAAGACCCCCCCCCAAAAAAAAAAAAAAAAAGACCAGTGATCTGTCATCGATCTGATTCATGGGGACAAAAGAGCTTGTGCCATGTTCTCCACTGCTCAAGCATGTTTCAGCATCATGCTAAACTGAAAATATCACATGTATTGGAGGAAAAAAAATGGCATAATCTAACCTTTTTGCTAGCACCTAATAAGCATTTGAACCTGCACCAGCTGAGTGACTGAGGTAACTTAGGGTTCAACGCCCTTGGAAATTAATCACAGGCTAAAGGCTCAGTCAGGGAGTGCCCACAGTCATAACTGAACATGCATGAGAGGTTTATAATGATTACTAGGAATATAATAATGGGTAATTACAGTATGTTGCAAACCAAGTAACACCACTTCTGCAACAGTGAGTGTGGTCATCGTTTTCTTATGGCTGCCACAGCAAGTTACAGCATTTTTGGAGCTGAGACTAACAAGCATAAACTTCTCAGTGTTTGGTACACACCGTCAGAACTTCAATGGGAGAACACACAAATTCATGCAGAGTTTCCAACACAACACCTGCAATAAAATATTTACCCTCATGAATACCTGCAGTACCTGACAACCAATCTGCCAAGCTAAAAGCAACTAGCCAGGGGGAGAGATGGCCACCATGTAGATATTAATGCCGCATTTTACGACACTTAAATTAGACTAAAAGTATAATGAAACACCTTCCCATGTAACTTCGGAGTGAAAGATTAGCAGGAGGTGTATGCCAGGAACAAAGTGTACCCACACTTCCCAGTGTAAACTACCTTCCACATACTACTCTAGGCATTAAGTACACCTAGTCAGCACAAGCACCTTCCACACAAATATCCTGCAAGCATGACAATGGGTTAACTTCTGAGTCACTATGGAACTTCCAGTTAGAGTATCTTTACAGGTACTGCTCTCAAATGTCAAGGAAGTCAATGGAATTACTCAGAGTCAACATATTCCCCTTTTGTTATTTTCCGGCACCTGAGTCTGGAGAATGACATGACACGGGTATGCAACACGGACAAAACTTCGGAACAAACCCCTCGGAGGTGCCTGAACTTACTACGCAAAGCTTCATTGCAAACAAACAACCATTTTGCATGACTAATCAAAACGTTAAAGTCCTAAAACTACATTGCTTACCATCTTTTGATTTCACATTATTTTCTTTCCAAGAATCGTATAAAAAGGCTGACAGTCAAATCTACCGCTTAACTGCAGATCAGTACGCATACCGGTAGATTGCCGAAACCCAAGCAAAACCTGAAAGACTGAAAAGATCACATTTTACAGACCGCAACTCACACACCTTAAGTTAAAATGAAACAGGTTGTTCATTCGCGACATGAGATACAGACGAATGTCGAGATATAGATCATTCTTTTAATTAAACTACCCCCAGAACACAGCTGAACATTTATTAGCCTGGTAAAAGATGTAATGGATGATAACCGCTACTTCATGGAAAACAGATTACAGTGTTTCTCTACAAGCTTTTACAATGAAGCGGTGTCGGAGGACCTCTGACTAACCGGTGCGGCTCACGTGTGCGGCGCTGCAGCTTCATCCAGCTAATGTTTCATCCATCTAATGTTGCAAACCGTTACAACTTTCCAACAGTGGAGTGCACTTAGTCTGCGATGTCTACATTCAGAAATATCACGTTTAAGGAGACGCCTCCACATTTTGCCAGTCTGTAGTTATGCGACAATTTTTATTATTTTTTTAAAGTTCCATTTTCGATTTTAATATCCATTATTGTTGCCTTCCTGTTTAAGGAGGCTACGAGTCTGAAAACACGCTTCTGTCGTCAACTTTTCATGCGCAACAGATATCAGGCAGCGCTGAAATATGAATCAAGTGAACCATTTTTCAGAAACATCTGCTGTCTGAGGAGATATTACATTCGCTGGTATTTTGACCGGGGCGACAGCTTTACTGAGACACACGCGCCCGACCAACATGTTTCACAAACCAGACATCAAAGTTTTTAAAACATTGTATAATTCAGCATAAACGCTTACGAAATTTCCAAAGACTTACTTGCTCTTGTCGACGCTCATGTTGTCTCGCTAAGCTCCGTATTCCCCCCCTTGATCTCGGTAATATCTGTACCGCCGTACGCTAAGCTTTCAGCCAGGTACCGTCCCCTTTTAGGCTGGGGGGGGGGGGGTAACTTCTACGTTGTGGTAATACGTTGTCTTGCAGTAATTTCGCTTTACATATACTAAATACACAACAACTACGTTATGTTAAGAACCGGCGATCGCAAATGAATGACTGGATATTTAGACAACGCTAAAACGCTACTATAAAACAAATTCCAAACACCGTCAAAACGATATCGAGCTTGCAATTTGGGAAAACTTTAAAAGGAAAAAAAAAAAATCAAAGTGTACTTTGAAATAAATGCCTAAACCGAACCAACGTGCGGTCTACAGTACTTCTCAGAATGAAGCGCGTCTTTTTCCATATTTAAAGCGCCATCCCTCTTCCAACGTCACGCTGAAAGTGGGAGGTAGTTGCCCCGCAGAGGTCAAAGAGTTAGGAGTACATTGGATACTCTGTTCTCAAACTTCCGTATGGAAAGTCATCCTGTCGGAATCGGGGCAAGAACTGCTCAGGTGCTCTTTAGTTTTATAACCAGGCTCTACGTCAATCAGAAATAGCAAAGCGGGGAACATCTCACCACGCGGCTTTAAAGTTATGACTTATAAGGAGTAAAAGCCATAAATATTCATCTTCATAAAGCGGCGGAACTTTATGTAAGGAAACAGTGAACGTTATATTTAAAGGTGACGTTTAAATAACTAACGATGTGTTTAAGTAGACAATGATTAATAAAAGATGACAACATGTTACATAGTGTCCCATGTATTTTAGACAGGGGAAAACGTTTTTAATCATTTTGACATAAAATGTTTGAATTACATATTCACATACATATAGATCGATAGATAGATGTATGGGTGGATGGATAAAGTTGGGATAGTGCACTGTCAGGAAAAGAGTGCCAGTTTGTACCTTTGCTTGCCACTGGGGCTGTACCCTCAAGGCTCTGCCAATTGTATCTTATAGCCGTAGGTAACTGTACCTTTTAAGGTACAGAAATGGACTATGAGGAACATTTTGTACCATTGCGGGTACATTGATGTTGTTTATATATCTTAGGAATGATCCTCAGAGTCCTTTAAAGGACAGTGTGGGGCAAAGACTTACGTTTGAGAAGCCCTTTTGTTGTCTGTCTTCTGCAATCGCTTGACTTGGAAATCCTGTCTATTTACTGATAACATAAAAAGTTACATTTGTTGCTAAGTGCCATTCCACTGCGGTTATGGCAAAGTCTGCAAACTGTTCTTTTGTAATCCTGTGTGTTTGCACCTGTGTAGTATTAAAATTTATTGTCCAAATAGGGTAACAACCATATGTTTGCTATAGTTGCAGTATTCAATGTTTAATATTAATAATTAATAATTTAATACTCTCAAAGAACTAAGCACAGCAGCAAGAAAACAGTTGCGATATCTATTATAAAAACAGACCATACTGTACACAGCATTTATTAACACCATTGTACAAACACCTATATCTCAAAAGATGTACAATCATATTATTTAGAATTGTAACCATGTCGTTATAGTGGAACCTTCTAGGTATGTATATGTTGAAATGAGCATATTCACAAAATAAAAATCTTTCCTACGCACACACAAACTCTCTCTTCAGACAGAGAGAGAGAGGCAGGATAGATTTTATTTGAAATTGGTGCGTTGGAAGGTGCAGACAAGTCACCCTTTGCACAGTGCAGAAGTTCGGAATACCAGGACAGATATACCTTTGAGAGGAGGTTCACAACCCCTGAGAGAGAGAGAGAGAGAGAGAGAGAGAGAGATTGGGGGGTGGGGTAGTATTGTACAATGTAATAGGATTTATCTTTAGAAAAGACACCACTTTGTACGCCACTCTGATCTTAACAGTGACACAATTTACTACAGACTGTCTTAGATTTTCCTGCTCCATCTACACCATTTCCCCTTATCATGATCCAATGCAAAGCAGTGTGAATAAGCACATTAGATCTGCAATCAACCTGGATGAGGGTTAGCCTGGGCTACCTGTGAACAATATGTTAATCAGTGACACCTTTGTGTTACAGCACACTTCGTGGAAAAATGCAATGCACACTGGCCCTTTGCCGGAATGGCGAGTCTCAAAACACCTGACCAACCATCAACAAGGTGTTCCGGCTGAACATGGAACCCAAACCTGATGCAAACCCAGATGGAAGTGGATACTATACCAGAGTATAGTAAGCTGTAATGGTTTTTTCATCGAGTGACAATTTGCCCAGAGAAGGTTATATGTAAGATAAGTCATTAAACAAATGTAATAGTCTAAATGTAACTGTTTAATGGGATGTCCCAGACCTGCTATAACAAGTACTTATTGAAGTTATAGGGAATGGAATAGCAATTCAAAACCCAGTTTAGTCTGTAATGTCATATAGAGCATATATATATAAAGATATATATATATATCTTTTTGACCAAGGTGTTTCTTGTCCATATGTTGCATTTATGTTTTCAGGGAGCCTATTTATCTTCCCATTCTGTGTTTGTTATGTAAAATTTTACATTGATAGTAATCAAAGCTAACATCAATGTCCTTTTAGCGACCATAAATATTTGTGTAGATTTTGGCCAAGACATAAATAGAAATTAATGATAAACCAATGAAGGACAGTGTTAACTCGACCAGTACTATGACATCTGAATTCCAGTATTGCCTGCTGGATTTCATTTGAAATTGGCGTGTTGGAAGGTGCAGACAAGCCACTGTTACCGCAGTGAACAGGTTTCACATATTAGGATGGATGTAACTTTGAGAGGAGACTCTAAACAATGATACACAGTCATTTAAAATAGCTTTATTCATTTCAACAAACATTTTGCATACAACCAATTTATTGTACTTCATCAGTAAATGGTGAGTTATCCATTCAGTCTAAATTGATTTGTTAAATGTACTCAGTCTATGACTTAAGTGTGCTCTAATGAAAAGTCTACTTTATTATCCTCTGATTCACCCTCCTGCTTTTAACAAATGTGTTCCCTGATGATTGAGGACAGAGGAAATGTCAAGATTTTGTTTCACGAACCATACACAGGGCTGAATTTTTCCAAATATGTTCCTTGTGCATATTACAGCATAGTTGTAAAGTTGGAAAAGGATTATTCTCAATTCAGAGAAGAGAGAGGGAGAGAGAGATATACATAGATAGATGGATAGAGAGAGAGAGAGAGAGAGAGAGAGAGCGAGAGAGAGAGAAAACAGAGATTTTTTCCTTTTTCCCAAATAGTTTTTGATTCACCAGGTGTTCTTTTTGGCAGTAGAGTGTCTTTGTTTCTTTTCTTTTCTTTTATTTTCTTTCCTTTTCCAGGAATCATTGGGATATTTACCCTGTTATCTAGAAAAACAAAAATATCGTACAAGTCCTTGTAGATCTGTTTTCAGACCATTTGATACTTTTCAAATGCTGTCCATGTTATGCTTTTTCTAATAATATTATGGTTTCTATGGTAAGCTCTTTAATAAATAGATTAATACTTAGGAAAAATTGTTGTGCTTAGTTTGAATATTTGGAGCAAAGCATTTGTAAAACTTTTTTAATTTGATCATTTTGCCAATAATTCTTAATGTTATTAAAGCTGAGATTAAAGCATGAGGATTTGTCACCACTTTTTTCCATGATGTAACTGAAACCGACTGATAATGCAAACAAGAAGATATCGAAGCATGCAGAAAACAGAGATCTTTATAAATCAACAATGACAAAGACTTCAAAGAAATAATAAGATAGACATAATGCTATTACAAAGCATTTAGTAATATTTGACAGATCGTTTCCATTATTCTTATTGTGCTTAAAGCCAGATAATATACCAAACCTGAATTGCGTAGTGCATTAAATTAATTATTAATAATAAATTATTAATGATAAATCTTTATATGTATATGTGAGTGTGTCCCTATGTGTCTTTGTGTGTGTGTGTGTGTGTGTGTGTGTGTGTTATTTGTCATCAGTGTGTTTAAACAAAATGTCACAGTCATTATTGAGAGTGTTCTATCCATCCACACAGGCAATTATCCAGGGTCACAGGAGTAGCTTGTATCCCAGGCAGCATAGGGCACCAGGAACTGGGACACTTTGTACAGGATGCCCATCCATCACAGGGCACACACACATATCGGCACACAATGGCACACTATCTTTCATTTAGAGACACTGGTTAACCTCGCAGCATGTCTTTGGAGTGCAGACACTGCCACCTTGTGGATAATTTAAATTAAAAACAATATAAGCACATCTGCCATGGCTACTGAATAGGCTGCTGAAGAGAACTGAGGCTTTATTACTCCATTATGTACCTTTAATGTTAATTTATATAAAAAAATATATGCTTTGAGCTTCAGGAGGATGTTTCCAAGACAAACATAAACCCCAACTGTAATATAAGAATAAAATACACAAAACACATTGTGAGTGGTGTCTGGGTCGGAGGCTTGGTCTTACCTGGGAGAGACGTGCACGTTATTTGGGGCAGGCTAGGGTGATGTGGTCCCTCTGGGGCCAGCAGGATGGCCCTCCCTGGGCTGGGAGTTTGGAGGGCAGGCAGAGTCACCATCTCTGGGCCAGGAGCCTGGAGTATAGCCTCTTGGGGTGCAGTGGAGGCGAGGCTTTTGAAGGCACAGCAGAGGCAAGGTCAGGCAGAGTGGGCCCCTGTGGGCTGGACTCCGGAGACTCGGAACAAGCGGAGGTTCCTTTTGGGCCGGGTTCTGGAGACTCGGGTGCGGCGGCAGCCCCTTCTGGGCAGGGCTCTAGAGGTGTGGTGGTACCTTCTCCTGGGCAAGGCTTTGACTGCACTAGGTTAGGCGAGCTGAGCTCTGCTGCGGGTTCAGCCCACTTCTTCAATTTCCCCATTGGTGGCATGCTCACCTCATCCCAGAGTACCCTATGGACCTCCCATATCACCGTCACCTCCTCGACCTTTGACTCCGATGAGAAGGTATCTGCAACTCCCGGAGACGGGCCACTATCTCCAGGGTGAGATGCACTGCAGCTTCTGCTACAAAACCAGGTATGTGTGAAACAGCAGGCTGCGGTTGGCATTCAGGGCCCGGGGTGGTCGAAGGGTCATTGATGTTGGGAGGTGGGCGACCCGTCCTATGGTTCCCTTTACTTTGGGAATGCAGTCACCTGCTGCCAGAGTGCAGTGAGGGAGCCATCAGATGGGGAAGACCTGGGTAGCTTGCAGAGTGTGATCATACTGTCATGCTGGCAGGTAGGGTGACCACCTAATCCATGTCAGGAGGGACACTATGAGCTACTTCAGCTTTTACGAACTACTTT